CAATATATATATATAATTAATTAATACAATTAAACTAAACTATAGACATTTTATGAACATGACGAAGTTGTAGAGAAAATGGAAACAAATAGGATATTTATACTTAGAATCAGAAAAAGAAAATTGAAATTTATAGGTCACATATATGTTTCAGAGCTCGATATGGTACCTACGCAGTTGGCTTCTTAGCGGTACCCTTAGGAATATAGAAGTTCCATTTGGCAAGTCGGTATAAGGATATGTGAACTACGTAATGATTATCGGTGCGTAAAGGGAACCTAGTTTAGTCTTACGTTCAGGTTGCACTAATGTCTCTGCGAAAGGCATGAATCCATTTCTTTTACTCTCCAACCATGGGTTAAATAACAGGTTCCCTAACACTGAGTGGTAGCTAGACTAGGGGAAGAACAACTCTGAATTTAGTACTGTGGAGAAGGAAACGTGTCCTGGATTACCACCCCTCCTTCCCAAGGTGACATGGCAAGTTACAGATAATGAAGGTATTTATGATGGGTTGAAGAGTTGGGTTCATGCCTTTCTTTGCTATTTACCTCATAGGGGAAGAAGAGATGGATTCGTGCCTTTCCCAAGGGCATTAGTGCTGAAATGAAGGCAACAAACTAGGCCCGATTTTGAACACAGCTCGCTGATTCTACGCCGATAATCATCATCCTAAATTGCCTGTCGATCTTCAAAATTTGTCGAACTTTATTGCAAGCAAATTCTCACTGAATTTTCTCACTGGTCTCATTAAGCTTGCCGACATTTTTTTATTATATCTGCTACTATTTTGGCTGTTGATCTTATTGTTCACTAGAATTTTTTATGCAGACTCGGCAAAAAACTCAAGAAAAATGAAATTATTATGGGTGCAAAGAAGATAGCACATTTGTCAGAAAAATCGAACACCCTTGTGCAAATTAATTAAAGCAAAACGAATAATTCCGTTATTATTTACTTTTTTTTCGTATTTTTCTAATGAAACATGACTCAGTGCACATATTAATACTTAATATGTCCGTTCCACGAAGTCGTTCCTTGCAGATTGACCACAGATTCTCGATTGGATTTAAATCAAGAGAGTTTCCTCGCAAGTCAATAGTACTTTGATTTGCTCACTGGTAAGGCTTGCCAGTGTGTTCGTACGGCGTTACAATTTTCGTACAATTTCTTGGTGTAACGCCCATCACAGACAATGGCCATAGAACAACTAATCGACAGTAGAGACAATAGTGTCTGGGCGTGATGAAAATCTGATACAAACATGGATGGTACAATATTTTTCAAGGCCAAACAAATTTCATTTGCAAATGACCTAATCTAAGAAAAAAAATAGAAATCCATTACACCCTGTCACTCCAGTGGGTTTAAAACTGACCGTATGGTGAAAGAAAGGAAACTAAAGTGGTTGTTTCAATTAATTTGCCCAAAGGTGTACAATAAAAGGAATCATTTTCTTCAATTTTTTTCCATATTACTATCGATCATATATATTTAAAAATATACATTAAATTTATCCTGTGTAGTAATGGATAACGAGTCGGAAATCGGAGAGCCGAGTTCGAATTCCAGTCGGGTTCGTTGCATTCATTTCGGCGCAAATGCCATTGCGAAAGGTATGAATCTATCTCCTTGTCCCCCAGCTATGGATTAAATAGCAGGACTGATTGGATCCTATAGCCTTGGTTGGCAACCAGCCTGCTGCAGAAACCTTCTGCTTAGTCCGTCATGAATCGCCCAAGCGTGGATCGCGTGGCACTTAACTGACCGATTAAATTTATAAAAGTTGATAGGGGTTCAATTTTCTATGTAATCTCATTGTAAAGCTAAAACAAAATATCTTCATAACACGTGATTTGTCAATATAGAAATTCGTAATCTAGAGTTCTTTTTTTTTCATATATTACGCACTCCACACGCCTGATTACATTTTTTTAACTTTAAGAAATCATAGCACATTTTGTTTTTGCTTCCGTAAGGTGATCAATTTACAATGAATCTACATAGCAAACGAAAACCCTACAAGCTTTTTTAAATTTAATTTTTTAATACGCATGATTTAGAGTGATTAATTTAAACAAATATTTTTAAAAAAATGATTATTTCTGATCGTAATGTACAACTCCGTCGATAAACTTAGTAAAAGTCAATGCAAAATTGCTAAGCATTTTTGGAAAAATAATATTTAGATCTGTTCCTTTAATTCACCCTAAATAATGTAAAGTTCCTTATCCCAAATATTAATTCACCCCAAGAAATAAATTTTAAGTCAAAGTTTATTTTTTTATTAAATTTTGAAATTATAAATTTTAAATCAAAATTTGTTTAGTTTTCCATGAAGTTGCTGGAGTTGATATAAAAATGCAACTACAAGGAGAGTGGCGTTTTCGCTTCTTACGGAGAGTAAATATTCTTCCTACATCGATGAAATCCTCTTCTAAAGGACATGATATGAGTTTGAACTTAGCAGATCGACAGAATAGATGGCTCAAAAAGGGACCTGGCTTCAATGGTCACGACTCCCCTACCATAAAATCATATTATTTATTTCTGATCAAAGAATATAGCCACTATAAATTTTTGTGAAGAAGAACTTGAGATGACTAATTGCACCATTGTGAATTGGGCCAACTACCTCAGGGAAATATGCGTCTGAAGATCATTAAAGTCATCATCACCGATTGGAGCCCCTCCCCCTGGAACTATTTCGGATATAGGGACTCATCTCAGAATGATAAACTCTTTTTATTTGTTTGAGTTCCTTTGAAGACGTAAGGCAAAAAATAACAATGAATGATTTCTTTAAGCAAATTTTAATGAACATTTCTGAATTTTGATGGGAATTTTAGTAAATATAATATTTTTTTTATTTTGGGTTGTATTAATATTTTGGGGGTGAATTAACAGAAAATATCCATAATATTTTTCAACCTTGTTGTAGAAGAGAATTCTATCTGTCAACACTGATAATCGATTGAGTAGCGATTCTGTTGCTGCTGACCTATTAAGAGAGAGATTTATAAAAAAATATATTTCTATCAAATCCAAAATCTTGTGCCAGACACACAAAAAAACTTAGGAATAGTAAAATATAATAGGAGCAAAATTACAAAACAAGACAACAAATGCGTAAAATTTTAAAAGGGAAAGCACATTTATACAATTACGTAAAAAGGTGCGAAAGTTTCCTTTTGTGCGCTTATTAAGGCAAGATAACAATTTCAGATAGAATGGATTACCAGTGAAAGATGAAAAAAATACAATTTGGGAAAAGAAAAGATTTTGAAAATGACAAAAAGAGAAAACAATACAAGAAGATAAAAATAAAACACAAAAAACTTTAAAGATGCAACTGTCTTTGAGAAAAAACGAAAGGACCTACTTTTATTTGCCCTACGAATATCTCTGGGACTTACAGTAATTTTTTTTTAAGTCCCTTTTAACTTCACACAGTTCTTGCATAGGAAAATTTATTCTCTTCGTTCTTGGCTGTCCAACCACAGGAGAATTTTCACTTGAACTTTTTTGGTCTCTCTGTGGCTGGTAGGTGCCTTATTTGATTTTCTGTTTTTGATGTCAAATGCTTTCTTTGATGTTGATGACCTGTCTTGTCCCCTTGCTGTCAAAAGTTTTCTCCTCCTATCTATTTGTTTTAAAAGTTAGGCTCACACTGGCCCCACTATTCGGGATGTTACAACGGCTTGAGATCACATCTGTCATTAATCATTATATACAAAAAAAAAAAAAATTTCCATAAACTGGAAATGGAGCTTTTATAAATTTCGGCAGTTTCAACCGCTGAGCCGAAAAGGTCAGAAAAAAATGTAACCGTTTTTGCACAAACCGTTAGGCCTTCATAAAAAATACACTTCTCTAAATAAAAAAAAAAGAACGTGGATTAAAAAAAGCAAACTTGATGATTAAACATTTATACAAGGGTAACATTTTTAAATTAGTAAAAATAATGTTTTTTATAGATTACCTACCTTCAACAAACATCATAAAAGAATCAGTATGAAGAGTCTAGCCAAGATGACCGGCAACAGGACTGGCACTGGGAGAGTTGGATGCTTATTTTTTCGTAAGAAGAGTATTTGTGTGCGAATGAAAGAATTCGAAATCTTTCTTCTGCTTTTCGATTCAATGAACCAAACTCAGCTCAGGGCTAATTTGACACGTGCCCCTGTCTCAGTTTTCAGCGTCGTTTAACCACACAAGCGCGCGTACACGCATACGCACACGCACACCTCCACACACGCACGAACACAATATTTATCACAGTCTGTTCATATCTATCTATCTATCTATCTATCTATCTATCTATGTAAGTCTGTTCGTTAAATCTGTTCATTTTCTATCTATCACAGTCTCTTCATATATATCTATCATAGGCAGTTCATTCTCTATTTGTCTACATATCTATCTATGTCTGTTCATAATCTGTCTGTGCATTATTATCTATCCCTCTGTCTATCAGTTTATTCATATTTATTTGTCTAAGTCATTATCTATCTATTTTATCTCTATTCATCCATCCATCCATCCATCTATCTATCTATCTATCTATCTATCTATCTATATCTATCTATCTAATGATATATATACATATTCATAGAAAAATACTTAATTTAGCGTCGCTTACTGTTGCTGTTTGTGCGTGTGCGTGTGTACACAAGAACAGATAATATCAGATGTTTTATTTCTTTTTTGATTCCTTTTTCGTCGGGCCGAGAACTTTTCAGCAATCTGCCGTATATATATATATATATATATATATATATATATATATATATATATATAACCTTTCTCCGGTTTGCTAACTTTATTTATTTTCTATATTTACTTTTCTTCACTTATCGTACGTAAGTAAATAAAGTGTTTTTTTTTTCCTTTGGGAGGTGGAATCTCAAAGTAATTGGTGTCGCTGTTAAGTTGTATACCTACCTACATAAGTAGATAAGTAAACAATAAACATTATATATATATATATATATATCGTTTTAGATAGATAGATAGATAGATAGATAGATAGATAGATAGATAGATGCTGATATAAAATTCCTCATTTAGATTGCTACATATGAATTATTGGATATCGTATCTACGTTCGCTCGTACGTGTGTGTGTGCGTGTGTCTGTTTGTTTTGCCTTCTGAAGCCACTCCAGCGACAACAGCTACATTCTGCAACTTTCAGGTTTAGTTATGTCATCAACGAATATTTTTCTTCTCTCTCACTCTCACTCTCTTGCCCTCTCCAATTGAATCATGTAGAAAGAACGCAGACGCTGCCCCTCTCTCTCTCTCTCTCTCTATGATCTTTCTCTTCGAGTATTTATTGCTCTTCAGAAATTGTTACAGCTTGACCTTGTTAAAAGAAATCTCGAATCGAAGAATTTGGACGCGAGTGGTGGCAGGTTTAAACTGGAACGAAATAAGAACGGTGAGGGAGGCACGATGGAGTAATGGATAACGGAGAGGAATCGGAGAGCCGAGTTCGAATTCCAGTCGAATCCATTACATTCACTAACATGTTAATAATACCCTTGGGAAAGGTATGAATCCTCTTCTCCCTCACCCAGTTATGGATAAATATCAGGACAGACCGAGTTCTATAGCCTTGGATGGCAACTGGTCTACTGCAGAAAGAAATGGCAACCTACTGCCGGAAAAAAATCTGCCTCGTCAGTCATGTATCGAAAGATACATGATCATCTAAGCGTGTATTACGCATGGCACATAACTGATTAAGGAAATAAAAGATAAAAATCATATTTAGACTTCGTTTTAGTTCTTCATTGTTTTTGTATATTTTTTTAAATCAGTGAAAAAAAAAGGGACGAGGTTCGAATCTCATTGTTTCGCTTTTCCATAAAAAAACGATTTCCCTAATATTTCAGTGTCATTCTACATAAATTTCTATAATAAAAAAGAAATGTAAACTTAGATAATTAAATTGACTTGGCTTTCACAGGCAATAGTCGTTGGCAGTTGCTGGGAGGCTGAACTTAGATGAAGAAGAATAGGATGAAGCTGAAATAAAAAGAAAAGTAACAGAAGAAAAAAGAAGAAATAAAACCAGATTTACAAATTTAGAGAGATTATCATTCCATGATTGTTTCTGAAGGTTTACCCCAAAATTAGAGATATTAATTCTAATTTCCAACTTTTTATGGAAATTCGAGATTTATCTCATTTCGGTTTATAAAAATGAACTTTTGTTTAAACCAGAAACCCAGCGACCCCTGTGAATCATCGATCTTATGAACTTCTTTCGACAGTGAAATGAATCGACATAAGTCAACATTTTGTTGATAATCATTATAATTCTTTTTGTATGAGCCTAACATAATCGTAATTAAAACTTGTTATCTTGCTTAAGTGTTAGGCGCACAAAGGAAAAATTTTGCAAGCTTGATTTGTAAAGTTTGTATTATTGTCATCAATATATATATATATAGACTTAAACTATGCTGAAAAATATTGTTCTTGAGTTGTCAAACAATGAAGTAAATGGATCTTTTCCTCCTCCTATGTGCTGTGTACCTTCATGACTTAGGTAATCATGGCTCCCCACAACCTGCTATTCTTTGTAGTATTTTTGTTATCCCTCCTAATTCATGTTCGACCAGCTCGTTAAGCAGGAGGTATTCACTGCCTTCTTCTGTCGCCTTTGTCTTCAATATGTCCTTTGTGTATCAAATTCTCCAAGCCTTCTTTCTTCATTTACATTTCAATTGTCTCTTTTTGATTCAAAGTATAAGTGTCCTTTTTGTTTTCATTTTCCTTAAAGATTCCTCGTTACTCCCATGTTCCATCCATGGTATTCTCAGCAAGAGATGCAGCTTAATAAATTTGTTCTCAGTATTTACTGTCCAAGAAAAACAACTTGGCTAAAAAGTCATCATCGCAAGGTTCAACGAAATGTAACTACACATGCGCATGCGCACGAAAAAGGCGCCAAAATTTTAAATTTAAATTATTATTTTTGTTAATATATTTTGGGGTTTCTACATAATCCTCCTGATTTCACTTAATTTCTTTTTCTTCTTATTTATATATGAAATTTGTTATTAAATATCTCACATTGCGATAATAGAACATCCGAAATTAAAATGTTGTTGTAAGGACCTGGACGTAGATTAAAATATTTTCTATGCACTTTCGTCTTAATAAATTACTTTCTTTTTTACTTCTAAATTAAGTAGTGTTTTTCTAAAATTGTCCTGATATATAAACATTTATATCTAGATTTCCCACAAGAGAGTATATGTGTGTGTTTACGTGCGTATGTTCGATAAGGATATATAAATATTATCAAGAACAATTTTAGTGGAAAAAAGTCTAATAAATTGGAAAAAGTTTTCGTGTGACGCGTTTCGAGCCGAACCCTTTATTTCTTTATCTAAAGAGTTGTGAGTTCAATACCAGGCCACAGCAGTGGTGAACCAAAAACTTGGCTTCCAGTGTTGAGTTAAAGGGAAATAACTCAGACAGTCGGAAGAGGCATGGTACGTGGAACTAGAACAATCTACCTCTGTGGATGAAATAAAGGGTTCGGTACGAAATGCTAATCACCTGAAGAAGGCCGGAGCGTACAACGTCCGAAACGTTGTGAATATGGCAGTGAAGATGAGGATAACAGTTCGAATAAATAATACAACTAATCATAATACCTCATCACAGATATGTGTGTGTGTGTGCGCGCGCGCACACACAACACAAGTACTATTTTACGAACACTATGCCAATATTTATGAACAAAGTGACCGTGTAACGATGGATTCGTCGCTACCTGCTTTCTACATGTGTCGTGGAAAACAAAGTCTTCAATAATTACATCAGGTCCCCACCCTAATATACACACTCTATAGTACAATTCATATTCATATTAGCAGTAAGAAATTAAAAATTCATATTCATATTAGCAGTAAGAAATTAAAAAAACTAAAGTATACCTTCGATGACAATAACCATGCAAAGGTAATAAATCCGTTGGTACATAACCCAACCAAGCGGATCAATTAAACTGGTCCACAAAAAAGCTCCATGTATTTAACAGACCCAATAAATAGTATTACGCAACAAAATCCAAAATTATACAAATCCACCATATGAGGAAATTTGGGATATTGTTGTTTATCGTCAAATAAACATAAAACTATGTGTGATGAAAATCAATATTTTTTCAATGAAACTGCCAAAAATGTAAGTACATTTTCGGCAGTTTCATTGAAAAAATATCATAATATCATAAAGAGGTATAATAAAAATAAATATGGTTGCTTACAGGAAAAAATGCTTTAGTGATGATTGATGAGTAAATGAAATGCAAATTTTAATAAAAGGCGGGTGAACGAAACTTTTATAAAAGAAGAGCGTTAAATCAAAGACGAAGCAATGAAAAAAAAATATCAGAAAAAAGGCAAAAAAAACTCTTTTATTTTAATTAAAAAAGAGCCAAAAACAGAAAAATAAAAGAAAGAAAAAAAAAGATAAAAAATTGAGAGCTAAAATAAAATGAAATGAAATAAAATAAAATAAAATAAAATAAAATGAAATAAAAACTAACATTTCCTCGCCGTGGTTGTTCTGCTCCACATTTCGAAAATTAAATTATTTTCTCACTGGCAATAGAAAAAAAAAACTAGAAAAGAAAAAAAGAAAAAGCCAAGAAAATCATCAACAAGAGGAAAAAAGAGAGTGGGAAAAAAAAAATAAAAGAAAGGTTTAAAATAACCATTGAAAAGGACAAAATAATCTCCTAAAACACCATTCCAGCGACAACAACTCACTGGCAAATATATTCGGGTTTTGTTTAATAAACAAACAATCAATCTATTTATTCATTCTTGACTATATTTACTGTTATATAAATATAATTGATATAACATACTCTCTGCATATAGATCTACAATAACATATATATACATATTGTTTACGTCATTAAATTAAGTATTACGGAAGAAAATCAACAAAGTTTCGACACCAGCGCCGCCTATCGACAGATAATCCGAACTCTTCAGTCAACGAATAATCACTCTTCTTTTTCTTCTTCTTCTTCTTCTTCTTCTTCTTATTATTATTATTATTATTATTATTATTATTATTATTGCTATATTAATAATTAATACCGGTCAAAATTGTTATGAAGATTTGCTAACATCAATAATAAATTCCTTTTCGCCCTTAAAATAGAAATATGCGATGGATTTAATCAAATTTAATTAAATAAGCTGATCAATTTTTTTGTGAAATGTAAGGCGTTGCTCTCAAAGCAAGATGGCGGTTCTACCCGATTAACGCGTTTGTCTCTCTATAGTCGCAGATTTTCTGTATCCACGGATACTGCGGGGCGGATTTTCAGAGATTTCAGATTCGAAACGAATCTGCTGTCGCTGGTATAGCGCTAACGTCACAACCTTTAAGCAGGTTTCCTGGTTTTTCCATTCCTCTGACGTTTTGGTCGTGCAGTTGTTTCGCCTCGTTCCGCTCATCACTCGCAAAATTCTTGCCCCGTTCCCAAAACGTCTACGTCACTTTCGTTCTTTCTTTCCTTTCTCCGGTCGACATTGTAAAAAAGCGATAAAAATTTATTTTCTCTTTTCTCGTCTACCACACCATTTTTCTCTTCTCTTTACTTTACTCTTCTTTGTACTTTCCTCTATTCTCTTTTTTTTTTCTCTTCCCTTTCTTTGTTAGTCTCCCTTGCTTGCCTCTCTCAATATTTGTTCTTTTTCTTCATTTTTCGTCTGTATTTTTTCTTTCTTTCTTTCTTTTCGAATCGCTTTTCTTTACGCGTTTTTTTGCAACATTTTTTTTATCCGGCAGTCTGTAAGAAACGTCAATCCTAGTTAAACTTTTACTTCTCTTTGAAAGACCATAATAATTTTTCCATTTTCAGTATTCACACATGTTGTTGGCTTACATTGGGGATCATGTGACAATAAGTCTCTTCGGTACTGATGCACTCTAAATATTCTCGTTGTTTTCAGTAGAATGGCCCTTTCTAGATGGTCTCCATTATTCTCTGATTTCCAGTTCCTTCA